TGTGCGTGGAGCCCGATGGAACGCTTTTCCGTTAGAACCAAATACTACTGTAAGATTAGCAAACGACAACATTCAGCCTTAATGGAGAATTGATGGCATCAAGTTTAAATGTATGCAAAAGACGGCACGGATCCGACAAGTCCCGCTGTAATTTTTTTATTGCAGGCCCTTTTATTAATCTCAGTTTAAGGTGAGTTGAGGTTGGACAAATAGCAACGAAAAAATGAACTCCAGAAAATGACTCGAAGTGGTGTATCACAGAGTGCGCTATCAATTTATAGGATGCCTCCGTTGAACAACGACAGTTCGACCGTCGGTTTGGACGATGTCCACCACGAGCTTCAGCAAGCTGAGGGCAGACGCGGTGACTTAACGCGAGATTATAGAGAAAGCAGACCGAGGCAGAATCCACCCCACTCCCACACCTTTACCCGGTGTCAAGACAAAAGTTGAGAAGACCGGAGATGAAGGGCGCAGGTAGCTGGTGTGGCCAACACTTCAATACGCGCCACAGCAACACCTTGCTAGGCAGGTTTCCACGTACGCGGGAGTGGCATAAAGGCCCCATTAAAAAGGAGCCATTACATCTTGACTCTCAGTCCACCAGTCAGCTACACCACACAAAAACACTGGACTGACTGCGCGGTCCAAGTTGTCCCGTTAGTTGGCAACCCTCTACCGTGTGCTCCACAGCAGGATGGTGCCGAGGGTGAAATGCAATGGATTAGTGGGAATAGAATTTTGATGCATTCACCTCACTCTCTGTTCCACTCCCGCACATAGACCCGGTGTCAAGACAGAGTCAGGAAAACCGGAGATGGGAAATGGTGCAGGCCCATGCATTGTGGGCCACCACGAACAAGAAAACAGCGACAAAGTTGGGAGCGGCTCAGATGCCAGTTGAATGGGAGTGCTATAAAGACCAGATTAAAGAGCCATTGCAGTCTGACCCTTAGTCCGCCATTCGGCTATTCCACACAACAAAACACATGCTGGGCTGACCATGCGGTCCGAGTTATCCTGTAACTTGGCAATCTTCCAAGCCATGGCTTTTAATGCACCGTGATAGTTTCAAGCGCCTGAGACTGTTTACAATGAGGAAAGTAAGCTGAGCCGTCGACCTCACTCAGGTCACCGTCCGAGCCGGTCAGTTGTCTGATACGGGGTGGGTGCAATGGCTGACAGGGTCTGCGCGCGCCACAGCACGACCTAGCCCCCTTGACACACACCAGGACTTACACAACTAGAAGAGGTAAGAATGAAGCGTCGCCGTCTGATTCCCAGTCCACTGATCAGCCACTAAGCACACAACACACACTGGGCTGATGGTGTGCTCTGGTATAAGCGTCAGTTGGCAGCCTTCCAAGCCAAGGTAAACCGTGATAGTCTCAG